CGTGTGCACGCGGTTGTGCATGTGGTTGTGCATGTGCGTGTGGTTGTGCGCGTGCGTGTGCGTGTGCCATGTGAGCGAGATCGCCGGAATGCGCCTGTGTGCAGCAGATGTACTCCCGCGTCCATGCGTGAAGCCTGTTGTGTGTACGACATAATTATGTTCGCAGAGACTGCTGTATAGTATTGCGTAGTGCACAGATTGTCCGTATTTCGTTACAACAACGTGTGTAAGACTGTGAAAGTTGATACCGCTATCATGATAGACACGTTTATGTTAATGATCTTTATCTCAGGCAAACCGCTCCCAGCGGCTCGTGGTCGAAACCGTTGTGCCGGTGAGCTGCTGACAGCGGCTCGGGCACATTCCTTTACAACGACTTCAACATCAAATTACATGTACTTTCCGGCAGTTGCCGAAAACAGGCCTCTTTTATCGCGATTTCATTAATTAAATGAAGAAATATCGAAATGGGTTCACTTATATTTTGATTTAATGACCAATTTAATGACGTTTTCGTCTTGTTTAGATTTGTACCAAAAAGGGGCCTCGGCATAGTCTTTTCTTGCAACTTTTCTTGATTTGTCTTGCATCTTTAGCTATTTTCAAATACAACTTTCTCTGAGGACAGAAGTGCCCCCCCCCCCCTCAAAGGAGATAAAGAGTTAACCCTTTGTGCACTGGGTGGGACAGAGTGGATTATGGTTGTGTCACGACGCGGTGAAATCAGCCACTCGTCAGTCTTTGGGGCACACTATGGAGCTATTGATATAGTCTTTAGCCCATTCTTTTGGCTTGCTTTTGATGAGAAGGATACTCATCTATCTTGATCAGAAGTCGAGATATTTGCGTTTGAAGGAGGTGGGGGTCGCCTAGGGTCAGAAGTAAAACGATTAGCGAGAAAATGGCTGCAAAAGTTTGGCGACTTCAAAAGCTTGGTGTCCTAGGAAACTGCAAAATTATACGTGAGGCAGCATGGTGGAATCAGGCTCTCGCCAAAATAGTCAAAGCGAAGAAACTTGCATTTTTCCGCAGGTTTATGAATTTTTATCAAT